GCAAGGGCACATCCAGACCAGCACAGACATGTGGTATGTGGCACTGCAGACCCATCTGTGGTACCACATGCTGCACACACAGACATTCCCTGTGCTGCTACTTTGCAATGCATTGAGGGGGGCTGACCCTGGGAGATCCCAAGGTTACAAAAACCCACACCTAAAAACAGTGGGGCAGTGCACATGGCAGCAGCATGTGCTGCCTAAAACATGAGCCTGGCCAGCTGAAGCCACGCTAGTAAGAAATGCAGCTCCTGGAGGCCCCCAAGACCCCAGGTAAGACTGTTGGGGCCTCCCCTACCTGTAGCATGGGCGCTCCCTGGAGACAAGTAGCAGCGGCACAAGGTGTGCCACTAATACTTGTTCCCAGGGAAATGCATGTTCCTGCCCATGGGAATGTGCCTTCAGTGTTTTGTTTTCTTTTTTCAGGCCTGGTGGTAAGGACACATCTGGAAACTTTGTAGCTGGTTTCCAGTTCATCCTCCAAAAAATGTTTAATTCTTTATGCAAAATGGAACAGCATCAACTGGAGAGGTAGACAGGATCTTACACTTAGGGCAGTCTTACACAACGTGGCAGATATGGGTTCAAGTTACCTCAAGCAGAGGTACGAACTGAAGCTGGGTACCCCATATTCTGTGAGAATGCTCTAGTCAAAAGACTGATGGATTAAAGCGAGAAAATACAAGCGACAGTACATTTTCCTGTCATGTTTTTTAATTTTTTACTTTATTTGCTTTTTATTGTCTAAAAAAGAAAGTATTTCATTTTGGATTGAATGCTGCATTGCTCAACATGCAACAAGTGTTCAATTTTTAAGGAATGATTTTACTGCTGTGCCTTATGGGAAACTACTGGCCAAACAGGGAAAGATGGGGATCAATGCTACAATCAAGAGTTGGCTCGGCCGTTTAGACTAAAAGGTGAGTTATTTAACTAGAGGATGAGTTAACTATCCTGTTTAACATTTTTAGCAGTGGCTTCAGTACTGGAACTACATGTGGCCTCATGAAATTTGAAGAAGATAATAAAATAAAGCAGGGATGGGCAAAATGGCAGATCTAGCTGGCAGCTGGACTCCATTTCCCAGCAGCCCCTGCCTGAGTGGCAGGAGCCAGTTTCCATGCAGACCCCAGCAGCAGCTGCACTGTGGCAGCACAAGGCTGTGGTTTCCGTGGAGACTGGCCCCAGCAGTGCTGGCAGAGCACATGGCAGGGTGTTGAGCAGCTCCAGAGCCAGGCTGGGATCTTGCAGCAGTGACAGTGTCGTCCAGAGCCAGGGCAGAGCTGAGATCTGCAGCCTGCATGGTCCGGTCAGGGGTGTGCAGGCTGTGGATCGTGGCTCTACCCCGGCTCCTTGCAGCGGTGACAGCGTGGTCTGAAGTCAGGGCAGAAATGCAAATCATTGCCTGCATGTCTCTGTCCAGAGCATGCAGGCTGCAGATCGCAGCTCTGCCCTGGCTCTGGATCAGGCTGTCACTGCTGCAAGATCCCAGATGTTGTTGATTTGTTTGTTTGTTTTGGGGGGAGGGGGAGTTGCTTTCTGCTGAGGCTCTGGAACCTTGGCCACTGTTAAGGCCAGGGATTTGGACTGGTATGCACTGATACCCCTGCTAATACTTAGAAACCCTGAGGTTCCTGGCTAGAGGGTCTTGCTCTTCTATTCAGGGTCAGACCAACTGGCAGATTTGGAACTAGGAAGAAATTTTTCCTATAGGGCAGATTGGCAGAGTATAGGGTTTTTTTCTTCTTTTGTAGTGTGGAGCAGGTTATTTTTTCTTATAATCTTCTGAGTTTATATTAACTAGCTACTTTGCCACCACAGTGGCAGGAAACTGGCAATGCCTTCATTTTCCCTGCTTTTACCAAAGGCATATCAAAAGGGTAGTGCTGATGTTTTGCAACTGTACCTGGTAGCTGTGTGTGAGAGTTTGAAGTGGCCTAGCTGGGGATTGCTTAGGCAAGTGATTGCCTGTGAATATAGGAAACTGGAATTAATATCCCAGAAGGTCCCTTATATTTGTTTCAGCCAGCAGGCAGAGTATTACTGTGGTTAATATTCATAACAAGAGACTGTATTTCTTTTTGGAAAAACACCTAACATAACTTTTGTCTTTAATTCTTTCCAAACCTCTGCTTGAGGTTTTGATGGTTTGTCTTACCAACTATTTTGCTATCCCTGTTTCCCACTTGTCTTATGACCCTGTGACTTGAAGTCATCCATCTGTCCTTCATGTTAAGCTGCACTAGACACCTGGGACTGGTACCTCACTTATGCCAAGATGCTCCCTAATATAGATGTCTGGGTCTGTAGCTTTGCTACTTCTATTTTACTCTGGCCCCTAAGCTATGGAAAACTAGGTAACAAATCACAAATGTAAGTAATGCAGCAGCTAAACAGGAAAGTATTTGTTTCCTCAGTACTGCTCTGAGAGGAGGATGGCAGGAAAGAGAGAAGGAAGTATAGGTGACAAAGATCAACAACAGGTAATGGTCTCTGCATTTCACAAACAACACTCATACTTTTTTTTAATTCATATGTAATGGCTGCTTTGGATAATGTTTTTAATCTTGTTTTTTTACATGTAAACATTTTGTCTTGTTTCCAAATAAGCATGTGTTCCTGGTGCTGCCCCTTCTTTTTCTAGCACAAACTGGTACTCTTTTTCACAGTTTCACCAAAGACTGAATATAATTTGGATTTAGCTGTCTTATTATTCCCAAAACAGGGTTGAGACATTGCTTTAGCTTGCATAAACACCAACTGTATGATGTAAATTCTGTGATTACAGAGTTGTAAACCACATATGTATTTAAAAATTAATTTTAAAAAGTAATATCAAACAACATATGTAAAATATACCATAGTCTTTTAAAAATATATTCATGATATGACAAAGGACAAATTAAAATGTAATAAATATGATATTTAGGAAAAGAACATTTGTCAAACTAAATGGCTTATAATATTTATTCCAAGTATACATCTATCAGGAGTTACTTTACAACATTTTAAGAAAAATAGTTTTGTAGAAATTTAAACATCATCCTGCATTACTGGGAACTATCAGATGCTACCCTGAAAGGGTGAGAACTAGAAACTGAAAGGGCATGTCTACACGTGCATTAACGTTCTTTTGTTAATGCGTATTAAATCTAGTACCTCCAGGCACCTATACATGAACGCAAAGGCTGCTTCAACACACTGCAATTCCAGTGTGTTGTAGTAGACTCAGTCGAGTCTGATGGAGCATGGCAATTACCACACAGTAATTGCCAGCAGCCTCCAGTGTCTCATGTATCAGCATCCCTGCACTTAAAAATGGTAGGGAGGGCATTTGAACTAAAGCTCATCGAACAAGCTTTAGTTCAAGGGTCCCTGCCACCATTTTTAACTGTGGGGATATTGATACAGAAGACGTGGCAGTGCTTTAATTACAGCAGCTATCAGAACTGCTTTAATTAAAGTGACACACACCCACACCAGATCACGTGTAAAAGTGTCCTCCTTTGTAAAGTACAGTAAAAGTTCTGTTAACCAGCATCTTACAAGCCGGCATGCTCTACTAACCAGCATGCCGGCTTGTAAGATAAAGTGAAACCGGAAGTGCCTACTGTGGCACATCCAGTTTCTCTGAACCCCTATGGCTCAGAAGCATAACAGGCTGTGCGGGGCCCACCTCCCTGTCCTGTGGGGCCAGTGGCGATTCGGCGGGAGGGGTGGAGGGACGCCCCAGACGCGGCGGAAGAAGCAGTGGCCAGGGCCACTCAATTAACTGGCATATTTTGTTATCTGGCATTCCCCATTCCCAGGGGATGCCAGATAACAGAGCTTTTACTGTACTAGGAAAATGTGCATTAGTCTGTTTTAATGCTCATTAACTAAAGAGCACAGGGCATTTGTACACAACATGGGAGAACTTAATTCTCCCTAAATTGAAGCGGTGGTCTTTTAAAAACACCATTTCAGTTTAGGGCGAAGTAAATCCCTGTGTCGTGTACATCCATGTCCGCCCTATCCTTACCTGCCTCTCCAGCGGTGGGGAGGGGAGAGTGAGCTGCTGGCAGGCAGAGCGGTCCCTGAGCTGCGCGGCGGAGGGGAGGGCTGGTGCCTCCCTCCATGGCAGCAGCAGCCCCCTCCCCCCTGCCAGGTGGCACCTGCCCACAGGCACCCAGCTTGGGCAGTCCCAGGGGGCAATGCAGCTGCGGAGGGAAGCACTGGGTCCCTGTGCAGCTCAGGCAGGCAGGCTCCAGGGGGGAGAGGGAGGAAGAAAAAAGATCAGGCTCGTTGCTTTTTTTTTCCTTCTGTGGAGTCTGCCTTCCCAGGCTGCTGCCGGGCTGCCTGCACAGCCCCTTAACTGCACTGAACCTGGTGCTTCCTTCCACAGCTGTAGGGTAGGAAACTAAAACTCCTCAGAGATGTGTTAGTTTGCAGTGCTCCAAAGTCATTTGCTGTGTCTCAAAGTTATTTAAGACGCATTATGCTGCCAAATGTGCTACAGCAGCTGGAATTAATGCACAATACACCACCGAATGTGCAAACAGTAATGCCATTAAAGTGGTGCAAAAGGCACTTAACCCACTTTCAACCCGCTTTAAAGTGTCACCTGCAAACGCCCGCAGTTTTCAAGTTGATGTTCAATATGCATTAGTCTATTTAATGTGCATTAACTAAACAGCACTTTTTGTGATGCTGTAATGCACACTAGAACAGGCTAATGCACATTAAAGCACGTGTGTAGATGCACCCAAAATGACTAAGCCAAATCCCACATCCAAGGTAACTAAAATGCAAACTGCAAACTAGTTATATAAAATCAAAGCTTGAAAAAAATGCCTTCATTTATTGTTCATCCTACGTTAGAATATTTAAATTAAAAGAATTGTTATTATCTAGTTTTCATCATTTGCAGGAAAGAGTGTCCCTTTAACTATCAGAGACCCACAAGCATGCAAATAAAATAAAAAAAAATGTTAGTGCAACTAGGATTGAGTACTCACCCCCTTCTCCTGATCCAGAACCATTATCTGAGAGGGAAATAAAAGGAAAAATAAAAACATTGTTACTGGAATACCTGTCTAATAATTTTCTCATTTTGAAAACATGAGGAGCCAAATATATAAGCAAGGTCTCCCACCACATCAAACATTACTAATAAAATTTGTCCCGTCTTATTACCTATTTTCCTTATCTGTCAGGGTAAATTTCTCTAAAATCAACAGCTTAAATGATAAGCACTCCCAAGTTTTTAAACTAAAAAAAATGCAGGCTTTCCAGCCTGATTTTTATACTTTTTTACTTCTGAGAAACACTTTTACTTTAGTGAAGGGTACTGCACATATTGCACGGCTCTGGGGGCATGTTTCCAGTGAGTTCTTGGCATGACCCGGGAGGAATGCTCCCAAGCATGACCCAAATGCCTTCTCCCAAATCAAAAGCATGGTGGTGGAGCTAATCTGGCAGGTGTTCCCCCATTGCTGCTGCCAAGACTGTGGGCTCCAGTGTGCTTGAGAGTCACTTCTGGGGACAACCATAGGCCAGCTTCAGGTCTGACATGTCTGAGCCAGAGTGGCCAAATCATACTCAAGAATGTCCTTCCTGGGACATACCAGGAGCACAGTACAGACATACCAGAAGTAGCCCAAGGAGGCAATGTTGCTCAGGATAGGTCTTTACCGCAGAGCTGACTCAGGCTATCTACACAAGAAGCAGGCCACTCGAGCTGCATAGTTACTAAACTAGCAACCACAGTGCCTGGCTTAACAAGTGATGAGTTATACTCATTTCAGCTGCAACCTTTAGTTGTCCCCTCATTGCATTACTAGCCCAAGTGTCAATAGTATTTGATCTTCAAATTATGCAACAGGCCAACTTGCTCAAATTTAAGCACCACCTAATTCAAGTTACGGATATTTGTATATGGACAAAAAACAAGTTAGGGGCAACCCTTGCCTCCAACTAACACTGTAATTACAAGTTCTCAGGCACACAAGTGCTCCTATATTCTTGCTCCTGTAGGGGCAGAAGGGAAGAGTAATTTATACAGTCTGTTCCATCAGTAAATTGACATTTAGATGGCTTATGCCAGCAGTAAATTAAATGGATTTCTGTTCTTGGACCTTTCTTCTGGAAGTAGTGTGTAGGTTTCCACTGAGGACAAGGACTGCAAGGTCAGAGATGGAGTGGTTATTCTGTGAGAAGTATTCTACTGGTGATCAGGTATTTCTGTCCTTTATTATTTTTCTGTGACAGTTCTAATAATGGGTAGGATTCACCAACATGATTTCCATGAGGATATTTTGGGCAGAGTCACATTTCATTTTAGATATCCAAATGGCACTTACTGTGAAGAGGGACTGGATACAAATACAATACTTAATGCAGGGAAGGAGCTACAGCAGGGAGAACACTAGTTTAGGAGCTGCTGTTCCTTTAAGATAGAAAAACCCTGGCAGGGGCGGCGTGGCAAGCAGAGAGAACAAGGAGCGATAAATGGCTCGAGACAGGAAAAAAAAGACTGCTGAGGCAGGAGAATCCCGGGAGCTGGTCCTGTGTGCTGGAGAAGACACGACCCGAGGTCAATGAACCGGGAGTCACCAGTGAAGTAAGTTGATTCTTAGGATACTCAGAAAAGAAAAAGGAACATCATCAGAAACAAGGAGAAGGAGGGAACCGCGGCTGTTTGTTTAGTCCCAACAAAAATTGAGTTTATCATTGCTTTTTTTTCTTTACTTCCTTTTTTTTGTTGGACATTAAGTGGGGGCAATCGTACTTCAGGGATATTTGAGGGGAGAAGGCACCTGAGTCACGGCTAATTCCCTGCCCTTAAAAAAAAGAAGCAGAAGTGCCCTGAGAGACTGAGTAAAATAAGATCTTAATAGGAGATAAAAGATTTTTAAAAAAAGGGGGAGACAAAAAGGGAAATTTTCCGGTCACGTTTAAATGGAACAGTTATCTTTATACTAAATGGTATATTACTTAAGACTATATTTAATAAAGGATTGCAGAAGGGAAAACCAAAAATTCTATGAAACTGTAAATTAACCACACTTACCTAGCCACAAAATTGCCGTATTTGGCACTCTTCACACAATTTGTGATGCCACTGCATGTACAGTATGGATGTATAAGCATGCACACAGGGCACTATGTTCTGTGCCCATGTGGCAGTTTAAGCATCCACACAACATGTAGAGTAGGTTTTGTTGTGGGGTGCGCCGATTATGCTGATAGTGGAGATGTGTTGGAAGGTTTTGTATCTGTCGCTTAGGGAGGGTGTGACCCTGCTTGGTGTTTATTGATCAGATAACCATTTGATAATGAGTTTGGCGAGGTTGTGAGGAGGTAGAAGGAGCTGGCTGATGTGACTGCAGAGTTGCTGGCCATTAATCTTCAAAACTCACGGTGATTGAGAGAGGTCCCAGATGATTGAAAAGGGCCAAATATAGTACCCATCTTTAAGAAAAGGAAGGAGGAACTACAGACCAATCAGCCTCACCTCAGTTCCTGGAAAACTCATGGAGCAGGTCCTCAAGGAATCCATTTGTAAGCACTTGGAGCAGAAAAAGGTGATTAGGAACAGTCAGCATGGATTCACCAAGGGTGGCCTGACCAATCTGACTGCCTTCTATGATGAAATGACTGGCTCTGTGGATGTGGGAAGAGTAGTGGATGTGATATACCTTGACTTTAGCAAGGCTTTTGATAAGGCCTCCCACAACATTCTTACAAGCAAGCTAAGAAAGTACAGGTTGGATAAATGGATTGTAAGATGGATAAAAAACTGGCTGGATTGTTGGGCTCAGAGGTTAGTTAATCAATGGCTTGATGTCTAGATGGCAGCTGGTATCAAGCGGGGTGCCCCAGTGTTCAGCCCTAGAGCCAGCTTTGTTCAATATCTTCATCAGTGACCTGGAAGATGGGTTGGAGTGCACCCTCCACAAGTTTGCAGATGACACCAAACTAGGGGCAGTAGTAGATGCACTGGAGGGCAGGGCTAGGATTCAGAGAGTTTTGACAAATTAGAGGATTGCACTAAAAGAAATCTCATGAGGTTCAATAAGGACAGGTGCAAAGTCCTGCACTTAGGACGGAACAATCCCATGCACCAGTACAGGTTGGGGACCGACTGGCTAAGCAGCAGCTCTGCAGAAAAAGACCTGGGGGTTACAGTGGACAATAAGCTGGATAAGAACCAACAGTGTGCCCTTGTTGCCAAGGAGGCTAACAGCATACTGGGCTGCATTAACAGAAGCTTAGCCAGCAGATTCCACTCTGTTCTACACTGATGATGCCACATCTGGAGTCCTGTGTCCAGTTTTGGGCCCCCCACTACAGAAAGTATGTGGACAAGTTGGAGACAGTCCAGTGGAGGACAACCAAAATGGTGAGGGGGCTGGGACACATGCCATATGAACAGCGATCCAACACAAGGTTTTACTGATATATTTACAATGTACAAGTAATTTGGAAGCCTATCAGTGCCTTAATCACTATAATAAAATAAATTCTAAAAATCTAGAAATTTTGGTATTTGATTTTTGGGTTTTCATCATGGAAAATCAGAGCTCCCCTTGGCCCCTTAGCTCACAGAATGCAGGTCCAAGCCACAGCCCCCCAGCCCTGATGGTGCCTCTCACTGCCCCCACCAACCCGCTGGCCCTGTTGGCCCCCCTTGAGGGGGGTCTCGTACCACTCCACCCTAGTTGAAAACCAGTGGCATACATACTGTTTCCTTTGGCATCAGCTCTGTGCCACTGTAAGGTACAGGACATGGGGATAGATGGAACTGCGGTCTGACTCACTATAGCATCTCCTTTGTTCAAGTACTCTCTTCATATTTGTATTCTGATTCTGCTTAATGTTCCTACAGAGATGCAATGGACACCTTACAAACTGAATACCTCTCATGGTATTTTCAGGGAAGTGTCGCATTTTTTCCTGTCTCTTTTCTGAGTTTGGTCTCAGCATGGATGGGTTTCAGAAACTGCTACAAACTATTCACTGGATTCTGCATCTCAACCTTAGGATCCCTTTATTTAGGACTCTAAGAGGACAACGGGGTGGATCCATTTCTTGTTATCTCAGCTTTCAGAACTCAGAAGGCTATTAACTCTAGCTATACAATGTTTCATATTACGTGTGCCACTTCACTAGAATCTCCATCAGGCTTGGGAATAATACCAGAACTGTTTTATCAGGGCAACCAAATTAAAGCAAATATTCTTGTTGTTTCTGAATTTGGACTAAGCTTTCTACAAGAAAAGACTTCTTGGAGAATGATCTTTATTGCAATCTCAATATGCATAGCAACTAATTAGTATCTAAGAGTCCAGTCCTTCTCAAGACAGTTCTCAGGTGATCTCCATCTAACAATAATAAACAGAAGAACCCTACTGCCAAAAGGAAAACTGCTCAAGTGAAGAGTGAGGCAGCAAAAATATCTCTGTTTTAAATCTGAAAATTCAAGCTTTTCAACAGTGACTCTGACTAAACTGTCTGTCTAAACCACCTCTCCCTGGGGCTTCATAAACACATCAAAATAGGCTTGCATATACACAACAGGGCAGACTTCTTTTGCAAGTCATATTTTTGCATAAATGTTAATGGATGAAATACAAGACCCATGTGTGAAGCAAGGATATAAACCCAGGATTACCATCCCAGGCAAGTAGCTTAACTGCTAGGTCACAGGGTCAGACCCCCTCTTGGGTTCTCTTTTCAGCCCAATGTGCCTTGAATTCTTTTTCTGCACAAGGATCAGTTTCAAGAGGAAAGGTGAAGAGTCTCCCTTATAGATTGGTCTCTAATCCACCATCTTGAATAATGCAAGCCAACCATGCTCTGTTCTGGTTCCAGGCTCTTTTAGCCTGATTTTTTCTAAGTATAAACAAACTCCAGTTGAATCAAAACCAAAAAATCCTCCATCCTTCTTACACCAAGGAAGGGGGAGGGATGGGAAGGAGGACATGCTGTAGAGGAGTCAATATGGTTTTGTCAATGGGAAATCATGCCTCCCCAGTCTACT